TATTTGACTTGGTCATGATCATCAACGACAACAGTTGCATGAAAGATTCAACGTGTTGTGAATTTTTTTTTGAAACATGAAGGTTTTGAAAATAAAATACATAAAAAAATTATGTAAATAATTATGTTTTAGAATTGACTAATTATGTTTTAGAATTGACTTATATAATTGAGTCATTTCAAATGACATATATTTATCTTTTTAAAAAGGTGGCACCAAATGAGATGGCACTTAGGTGCATGTGATTTGTCCTAAGCCATCTCAGATGGCGCTTAGGTGCAATGTGTATTTTTTTTATAAATTTTTTGTTAAAAAAATAAAAGTCAATTTTGTCACAAATGAAACTTCGATTTTCAATAATAATTAAACGGTTACAAAATACAACTAAAAGTTACATATTATTTAGTTGCCTCCCTGGACTCGATAATGACCTGTGGTTCCGCACTCGCGTCCTCACCTAACTTGTGGTGCGTTTCGACGATTTTCCTGTTGCGGTTGGGTTGAGGGCCCTGCGAAGTCAATGCATTAAGGATCCATGAAATTCGTCAGATAAGCATATCCGGAAGATCCACTTTCAGAAAGTCGGTTACTCATGCCCTCAAAGTTTGGTCGTATTGGTGGGGGTGGGATTCCATGGGTGGTCGATACCACTGGTCGTCTGAATAAGGGGGATAAAAAGGAAATGAATCTTGTGGAGTTTGGTATTGTGATTTTTGGGTGCTATGGTGGTGTGATGGATGATGGTAAGTTGGGTTGGCTGGGTAATATTCTTCAGGTAGGTCAAGGTCTGGACTAAGGTGACATAATGAGGGGTCCATATCGGGATGTCAGATGTATGGCCAGTGTTTTTGTTACTGTGATTGTGTATGGTCATGTGTGTGTATTGGTACTTGTCTTGGAATTTGGGTTTGGGTGCTTGTGGATCTGTATTGTCGTTGTGTTTGGTGGGAGGTTGATGTGTGTTGGGTTTGTTGTTGGGATTGTTGTTGGGTGGTGTATGATTGTTGGTAGTGTTGTTGTGGATTTGAGGATGATGTCCATCGTGTGCGTGGGTCGATCAAATACCTTAGGTCAGCCACAAACATTTTAGGGTTAGTAACAGATATGTACCAATTGATATATTGATATGTGTGTCACATAGGATAGTTCATCGGGTAAACAGGAAAATATAACGAATGTCGGTGACGCTTCGTCCACATCTTCAACCAATCGGACGCTAATTCTTTCCAATTGTTAACACCCCACTGGGTGTCAACCCTAAGGAGATGCCAAGGTGCCAAAAAAATCGGGGGAGACGATATATCTTGATGCATGCTGAACTGCATTTTGACACGGCCGCTTTGGTCAATCTCAAAATATTGTACCGTATGATTACAATTTTTACAGTTTAAACTACTACATCCTAAGGGTTGGGTTAATGTTCTAGACCCAAATATGGTCTTCAAAGGAACTGCAGATAAAATTATATTATAATAATAATGATAACTTTAAAAAAATTAAAAGAATATTGTGTGCGAGCTATAAAAAAGTTTCACGTGATAAACTCTGTCGATTTTAAAGTAGGTCGAACAAATGCAGATATGTACAAAATTCAAAGTGTCCACCCAGAGTGTATGTCCAGGCTCATAACATCATACAAGATGAGAAATGATTGCTGGGTGATAGACTCTTTTCTCAACCACACAATTGCGTTAATTCTAATAAATCAAAAGATCATCATAATCTAATTTATGATCTTATATGTCAAGAAATCTTACCTCTCTTCAACAATGATCCGTCATTGAAGGTAAAAATAATAATCTCTCACATCACTATAATATATAACTATACTCCCTCATACAGGAAGGAATGGTTAGCATATACCAAGGCTATTGAAAATGTATACGAAAACTGGAAGGATTCATACAAAGAACTACCACGCTACCTGCATGCACTTCGCACATATGCTCTTGGAACTGTTTATATTATGGAAACATTGTCGATGTATGCCCTAGACGGTACTCATGTCAACAAAAATGGACATAGATGGAGCCACATGACAATAAATATTGTTGAATCAATGAACGGTGTATTCAAAGGCATACAAAACCTCCCCATAACCGCTTTGGTGAAATCAACATATTTTAGGATGGCTTTGTTGTTTGCAAAAAGAGGTGAAAAATGGAACGTGGTACTACAACTAGGACAACTATGGAGTGAAACCTGCATGAAGTTTATGAAGGTTGAAAGTGCAAAAGACAACATCCATCATGTTACAATATTTGACCGACATAACCACAATTTTGTTGTCAAAGAGACATTCGACCACAATGAGGGGCTGCCAAGACAAGAGTATAGGATTCTACTACCATCTTGTTGGTGAGATTTCCGAAAGTTTCAAGACTTTCATATACCTTGCTCCCATGTCATCGTAACATGTATGTATGCTCATCAAGATGCATTACTACTTCCATCTCCCGCATACAAGGCCAAGAATTTTCTCAACGTATACAACAACGACTTTCTAGTGGTAGAAAAAGAAGATCACTGGCTTGCACACAAAGGGGAAATAGTTTGGCACTTCGATCAAATGCGACGAAATGAAAAGGGTCGACCCAAAAGAAATTGTATCAAAACTTAAATGGATGTGCTTGATAAGATAGAAAGAAAGTGTGGTTTATGCTATCAGGTCAGGCACTACCAAAAAAATTTCCCCACCGTGCTACTAGCTCGACAACATAAATATTGCATGCTCACTATCTGCATTTTTTTAAGATCTAAACATAACCTTTTTTCATTAAGAACATTGGTTACAACAAACCATACGCGAACAACAAGTAAAATGACACCACGACTAAAACAACAACATATACTCTAGATAAAAATAACATCAATAATACGACAAAATATCTAATAAATTACAATCGTCAAAACAATTTCATCGGTCCCGTGCATCATCACCATTACTCCTGTGTCTGTTTTAACTTCCTCCAACCTACTTTGAGGTTTTCCTGTTGCAGGTGAAGTGGTTGTTCTTCTTCTCTGGATCCTTCTAATTTGTTCGCCATCTTTGGTGTCCCCGTCTAACCATCTCGTCAACCCTCTCTTCATATGCTCCATGGAATGAATGTGCTAGAATTTTATTTTCATCGGAGGTTTGGTGGCCGAGAAAATAACATACCCATCTCTCGTGAAAATCATGGGAGATGTCATGGTGAAGAAATTTGGGAGGAAATGAGAAGAGATAGTGATAAAGTGTGAAGAATGGTGGAGAAAGGGGGGGGGGTCTTATTTATAGAAAACACAGATACAAGGAGGAGCCAGTTTCGCACCCGCATCATCTGTAACTACATAAGATTTAACCTCCACTACTCTAATTATGACATAGATGGAAGTTGTTTCTTTGAATAGAAAGATGCTCGAAATTTCATCAAGACTTACCACACTATTTATGGTCGGGATCTAGGTGATGTTGAGTTTAAAGATCATCCGACGCATGGGACCTAGCACGAGTGTGTTGATTGGCTCAAGCCCTTTGATATATTTTGAGCTAATGAGATACCTTTGAAGAATATAGAGATAGTGGAACCTCTTGATGCGAGCAAGCATAGATGGGTGGACTCTTAAATATTTGGGACTCCTTATGCTCTAAATAGTCTTGAAGTTATGAGGTAGACTAATATTGAGGTAGGTAGTCCCTTTGATTGGTCGATATCCTTGTGGAACCATGTAAAAGGATATGTAGCAATTGGGAGGAGTGTTATATTCCTTTTTTGAATTCTGGTTTACCCGGATAAATCAGCAGATGCCTTTGTCTGAGTTTGTAGTGGAGGTGTTTAGTTTTTGAAGTTTCCCCCCTTGTAGCTTCATCCTACAACTTGGATTTTATAAGGGAGTTCCAGTTTTAGGATGATTATCAGTCTTGGAACCCATTATGTCAGTTTTTCTTCCATCTCTTTGTTGTGATACCCACTTCTTGAAATAACATTTGGGATCAAGGGATTCATCGTGTTGTGTTAACAAGTTCCCTACTTCAACCCCTGTGCAGAAAGTTGAGATGATTTGTGAGATCACTTAATGCTAATAAGACCTTGTACTCTATAGGCTTATTCTAAAATATCTCAGGTTACCACTAGCCTTCCTCTTTATACCGTCCATCAAGGTTTTCCATCCCATCCGTGCACATACATGTTTCAAATGTATTGGGCCTGGATCCATTTCAAAATTGAACCTCTTGCATATATTAGACGTATAGATTCTCTCACTTTTTACGAGTTTGAGATAAAGAATGATATTATCGCTTTTTAAGAGAATCTTGGTTATGAGGAATGGTTTAGTCCTACAGAGGTAAAGTCTTCTCTGCATAGGAAACGATCCATTGATTCATGTGCTATTATGGGTGTGGTCAGTAGTCTTGAGAGGAAGGTAATTTTTGGTAAGGATAAGTCATCCTTTTATAGTTTTTTTATTACACAGGTGTTTAATAATTGCAAATAAAATGTATTCTTTGAAGAATTTATTCGACATTTCTAAAGAGCGAGAGGCTCAAGTTGTCACTCTGACTTCTTTTGCTCGATCCCACACTCCTCCTCCAATTAGTTCTAGCATATCTGCTACATTCAGAGTATCTATGGTCTCCCCTGGTCCGGGCCAACCTACTTCTGGAATTTTTGATGCAGTTGTTGAGGATCGGGCTCGGTCCCCTCATACTAATAACAAAATGAACGAGATCAGGATTAGAGTCCTCCCCCAGGAGTAGATTTGTCAAAACAGACTCTATTATCTAGGGGTACTGCTTCTAGATCTTCTACTCCTCTCCTCAAGTTATTGTCTATTTTTCCATCCCAAATTCCCTGCACTAATTAAGGCACTTGTCATGATATCTGAAGAGGATCTTGCTTATCTTTAGAACTTTCATAAATCGGGGAAGATGAATCTCTTTTGAAGGGCCACTTTCTACACTTACCAAATTGTTTCTCTATTTACCATAACTGTTGTTGGTCGGGGGTGATGTTTTAACTATGGATAATACTTCCAAGAAAAGGGATACCTGGAAGGGAAAATGTGACATAAGTAAACAAGATAGAACCAAGCTTCAACAAGAAGTTTCGTCTCTTTGGGAGAAGGTTAGTCATGTAGAGTCTATTCAATTGGAGGCAGAAGTTTATGGATATCATACCTCTCTTACTGCTAGGATTGTTGAGCTTGAGTCCTCTCTGGAAACGGAGAAAAAGTCTCAAAAGGAGGCTACCATTACTGCTACTAAGGTGAAATCTCGTGCTGAGGAGTTTGTATAAGCATTAAGCCGGGGTGCGCCAGTTGTGCTTTAAGTGCGTTCCGCCTAGTGGGATCCTATTTCATGAACAAAATTTATGCCACATTGCTAAGGATTATAATATTATTTGTGTGCATAATATTTATCTTAGCCAAAATATTTATCTATTCCAACTTAGAAAAATCTTTAGAGATCCTTATTTTATGTGGAAACAGGATTGGCATGTCTTTCTTGGAGGCTTGGCTCTATGAAGTCTGTGCATGATGGTTTTTCAACCCATTTTACTTTATTCCTCTTCTTTCTCCTTCTCTCAATGATGAGTCAGGAGATCCGTTCCATGCAATGTTTTGCATATGGAGTTTCACTTAGATCGCGAGTCATCATTTCTTCAGATTACTGCCTTTCCCAACTTTGTCATTTAGAAAAACTAAGCCTCATTTTCTTGAATTTCCATGTATATCAATTTAGATAATTCGGTGGTAAGGATAAATTCGACTGATATACCTCACTCTACAGGCAGTCGACAAAATTGTTGGATTTATTGGGCTTTTCTTTCTCCCTCTCTTTCACCTAGTGCGAAGGAGATCTATGTTCGTGTTCATCTGTAAACTATATTTGGATCTATCGAGTCTCCACTATAAATTGAATTTTTCAATTTGATATAACATATTATTATGGTAAAGAAGGATCTTGAGTTCACGGTAGAGGCTTGTTTCTCAGATCGCGATAACGCTAATTCGTAACTTCTTTCGATTTTATTTTCAGATAGGGTCAGATCTGGTGATAACAAAGTGATTTTCTTCATCCTGAAGTTTTCTTATGAATCTTCCTAATTACACTCATTAGAATCGACAGTTGGATTGTGAAACCTGGAGGTAATGCATTTTACTATAAGGCTTGGAATGGAATGAGCTTCAGACACAATTTCTTTGTGAATTGATTTTGGATCAAATGGGAATTCAATCGTGGAATTTCATCAGAATTTGATGTCAAATTCCTAAATAAGACGCAACTATTCCGCATGGGAACCACAATTGATGTTGATTGATGATGTTGAACTCTGAAAGCGGTGGTGTTGATCTGTGGTATTGCTTATTTTAAAATTAGTGAAGTGCTAGATGTTATTTTAACAAAGCTTAAGGGAGATTAGGTTAATTTTTCCTTATTTATATGTTTAATTTTAATTGGATTAATTAAAATTTTAATTACATCTATTTTATTAATTAAATATATCATTTATTTATAATTTACAAAATTTAGAGTAGCCTTATTAACAAAGACCTATGAAAAGGTATTACCTAAATAAATTAATATTTATAATTATCCACTTTTACTTGTAATTCGGTGCGAAAAGAATAGAGTAATGCTATTCATACGCCCATATCTTACACCAATACTTAGATCCAACATTATTCATCGTATTTATACGGTAAATAGTATTTTTTAATAAAAAAATATATTTGTAAACAGTAATATATTGTTATAATCATATTTTTTAATAAAAATTTTAGACTTTTTTAGAATTAAAATAAAATTGGTTAATGAAATATAAAAAAATTGATTAATGAAATATTGAAATTGGTTAATGAACGTTCATATATTAAAAATAATTTAGTGGTAAAATAAAATTGTTTGATATAAAGTAAAAAGTTGGTTAATAAAGCACTACAAGAAAAAATGATATTATCCAAGAGTAATTGTGAGGTGTTATACCCCTCACTAAATTCAAACGTTGTTTTGGGAATATACCCCCTCGCAAACAACAAATCAGAAAACAAAATAAAAAAATGGCATGGGGATACGCGTCGCTATAATTAAATAGGAAATTTTGAATTTTGAAAATTTTAACCGCTTTACATTTAGCGAGAGATAAAAAATCACAAAATTACATTGTAGCAATTGCTTAGGGGTAACCCCTCGCAAATTGCCACTAGTGTCCAGGCTGTCAGAAAGACTTTTGTAATTTGCAAGGGGTAACACCTAGCCAAATATGAATGTTTTAATTGTGTGGTGCACCCCCTCACTAATTGTTCTGTTGTATAGTCAAATCAACCCCTTCATGTACAGGCGTGCTCTGTGTTGAAAACCGAAGTTACATTTTGTGAGAGGCAGCCCCTGACAATTAGTAATCGTTGGATTTTCCATGGATACTGTGATACGGTGGGAGAACTGACTTGAGGTTTTGCATTTGTGTTCGCAAATGTTTCGGTTTAGCAAGAGTCGCCACCGACTTTTTATTTTATCCAAAGAAAGGTCAAAAAGCACAGGAAAGACCTTTGGGATGTTTTCTTGGGTTCGGGGGGTAGATTATGAAAAGGGAAGGTGCAAGCACCATTTTCATCCATGGTTATCCATGGGCTCTTAGTTACTTGTTTAGATAACTTGCTTTTTCTTTTCAATTGTTTGAAATGGTGCTTTGTGCGGTTTTGAAAATATTTTGAAAAGAGGCCCTTTTGCCTAGGCAACCTTTGTAATGATTCTTGTTTGAATGTATACAAAGGTGTTTGTCTTTTGAAAAATGTTTCAATTGTTTGAAAGTTTGTCTTGGGAAATGTTTTGAAATTATGTTGTGATGTGTTTTTGAAAATAGCAAGGATGTTTGCAAGTTTTGTTCAAGTAATTAAGAGCATCTACCCTATCTACTCAAATATCTTTCCTACACATTTTTAACCCTTTTACATTGTTGTTTTACCATTGTATTTGGGTGTTAAACGGGACAGGTGCGAGTCATCATATTGACCATGATAGCAATTGTGCTAAGTATCATAGCAAGTTTTTGTGTGAGGGACTAGATCATTTTGTATAGGCAACCAAGATAGCGTCATCGAGGGACTATGATATTTTTGTTTTGATTTTGTTTTGCCAAGATACTCAACATGCATACCATGGCCATTTTAAAGGCAACAAGTGGATGAAACCCTAGGGGTGCATGTGTGCATTGTGTTGTCAATTTACATGCTTTTGTGTCTTGTATTAGGTCTAGCTATTTGTTTTGATTTTGGATATTGCATACAAACCCTAATCTCTTTCATGCCTATTTATAAGCTATAAATGCGTAAAAATAAATCTACAACTATTACAACATTGATATGGGGAGGGGGATACAATTTTGAATAGGGGATTATTTGCAAGAAATTAAAACCCTAAGATTATTACAACCAAATTGAATTCTTTGTTCAAATGATAAATAAGCAAATATTTAAATGGACAATTAAATAAATATGCAATATATTATAAATATGCAAAAAATGTTTTTTGTATTATTTTTATATATGTGAAAATAAACTATTTAATGCATAAAAAATAATAAAATAAAATATTATTTTTATTAAGGGTGGAAACCCTAATTTGTTTTAATAAAATATATATATTATGTATTATTTATTTATGTACAATAAAGTAAATAAAATACATACAAATGTTAAAAAATAAAAATAATGTGAGAAAATATTATTTAAGTATATATAAATACTAAAAATAAAATATAATGTTTTTTTATATATTATTTATAAGTTTTTATTAAAGAAAGTAAAAGTGTATATTATAATTATTTCTATGTCTAAAAAAATAATAAAAAAATAAAATAAAATGTGAAAATTAAATAAAATATTTTATGGTAATTTTTAAAGTTTAGAAAAGTAAAATAAAGTTATAAATTAAAAAAGAAATGAAAAATATACAAAAATAGATTAAATGGGCCAAGGGGGTGTGAGAAGCAAATCAGGGGTGCAAAAAGTGAGAAATTGCCAGGCCCAGCCCAGCTGGCCTTCATCTTCAACCTCTGTTCAAAAAAACGCGCGCCTCCTGTACAAATGACTAACTCCTGCATACGTGCTCTAAAGCAAAAACTCACAACACAAAAGTTATAGCATTTTCCAACACGATTCCAACCATGTAAAGAACTTAATCTAACTCTCAAAGACCAGAGAGAATTTCTCTGGCCCTAATTTCTAACCTAACTTTTTCAAAAAGTTCATCAATCAAATTCTCTCAACACAGTTAACTTAAATGAAATATATGCATATGTACAGCTTAAGGGAAATGAGTACTACATTTTTTATTCACAAACCTAAGGCTAGTGATTCCTAAATAGAGAGATAGAAAGTTGGAAAATACCTGCTTCAGTTGAACTCGAGTATGGCAATGTGGAGGTTTTCTATGAGGCCTGAGATGCTTGGGAGCTTGCTTGAACTTCCTTTGACCTTCCCCAATGCTTAGTTTGCTTTGAGTTTGCTTGAATAAGCCTGTAGAAGTCAACCTGCACAAGCAGAATTTAAAAATGGTGAAGCTTGTAAATGGAGTTACAGCCACTGGCCAATGGCTGGGAGAGCTTAGATGGGTTGTATGGAGTGTGTTGGAAGAGTTTTGGGATAAAACGCACGAGTGGTTTGTGAGATGGAGGTGCAACTGCAAAAGCTGCCATGTTTTGCAAGAAGATGGTGATTTGGTGTTTTGGAAGGCTTGAGAAGTGGTTAGCTCGTGCTTATGACTTAAGGCAATATGCAAAACTTGTTTTGAATGGTTACAAGAGTTGGTTTTATCAGATACAAGAGTTCTCTTTGTTTTTGCAAGTTGACTTGGCTTTTAAGAAAAGTGTGAAATGACAAAAGGCATGCTTGTACAGGCTAGATCCAAGCATGCAAAAGATGGTTGTACCTTTGCCTAATTTTATGGAGCTTGTTTGCTGCAAAGAGATGGGTTCAAGGCTCAAGGGAAACAAGTTGACATAAAGTTGTGCTTTATGAAAATAACATTGTTGCCTTTTTGCCAAAAATGGATTAAACCCTTGTGTAAACTTCCATTGATCAGAATAATGCCTTAAACCATTGAGTTTGCATTAAATTTTTGAGTGTGGAAGGGTTTAAAGACCTGTGAGCAAGTACAAGTAAGGCTGGATATAATTTGCAATTTGTAGCAACATGAAAAATGCCATGGATCAAAGTGACTTTTTCCCAAATTCAAACCTTCGATTCTCCCTAACCAAAAATGATTTTGGAGAGTTCTTGGACATTTTGGAAAGCT